GGTCCCGTTCTGCAGCAGATCCTCCAGCTGGATGGTGCAATTGGCCACAAAGTCGTCATATCCGATGGGCGCATCGTGGAAAACCGACAGCTCTAGACTCCTTCCCTCGTGGACCTCAGTGCAGAACTCCTGGTGCCAGGCAGGGCTGTTGGTCTTGGTCCTGGTGGCGGTCTGGCCAAGCCGAGTGTGGTCCAGATTCAGGGCCAGGTAAGGGTCCAGCAGGAAGGAGCCGCTCTTCCCAACAGCGTGACGCAGTGCCCAAGGTGTGGGCTTCAGGTCCACCGCCTCACACACTCGCACCTTCAACAGGCCACTGAACACAGGCATGGCTGCAGGCTCCGTGTGTGTGTGTGTGTGTAAGGATGAATGTGTGTGTGTTTAGGCTGGTCTGCCTGTTCCTGCTCCTGTACACAAGAGTGTTTCCTTCCAATGAGCGGGGTCACTGCACAGTCCTGTTACATCCCATAATGCCGCTGGCTCCTTGGACTCTCAGTGTAGTACAGCCATATCTGAACACTGTGTTATCCACACACACACGCACGCACGCACGCACGCTTACAGCACAGCTGATCTCTAATGGGCTGAAAAACGCAGTAGCAACGCAGACTCGCACCCTTCAGAGGTCGCTTTGCTGAACACTCCCACCCGAGCGGCTGCCTTGTTTGTTTATGGTCGGTCCCGTGCGGCACACAAGCTCCCCGTTTCGGCGGAAACAGGCCGAGATTTAAAACAGCAGTGGTGGTGGGAGGAGGAGGGGGGGGAGTTGCGGGTTTACGAGCTCCGGTTGGGTTTCACGTGAAGCCCCGGAGCGTCCCCACGGTGTTTGCGTGTCTCTCCCGGGTCAGGGTGGGAGAGAGCGCGAGCAGCCGCGCCTAGCCATCCGGGATTGGTGCTCCGTTCCCAGACCCTCGTTCGCTCTTTTCTGGGATAATCTCCCTGCTTCGACCTCACGGTACCGCGATATTTGCGCGTGCTCTCGGAAAGCAATGCCTTTTTAGCCCCCTCAATGCAGTCCTTTTGGGACTCACGAGCACCCCAAATACATCACGGTGCTCCGCTCCCGTTCGTTTTTTTTCTCTCGCTCTCTCTCTCCTGTCGGTCCTTGCGCACGCCCTCTGTTTCCCGTCCCCTCTCGCTCTCTCCTGAATTCGTGAGTGAGCGCAGGCTCCAGGAAATGCGCAAAACGCGTCACCCGCGCTGCCGGGCTCTTGCGCCGGATGAGAGAAGAGAGAGAGAGAGAGAGAGAGAGAGAGAGAGAGAGACTATGCGTGTGTATGCGCGTGCAGATAGAAGAGGTGGGGTTTTTTTGAGCACAAGAGACGAAGAGGGGGATGGAATTCACCCGCAGGCACCGCGCACGTCTATGTAAGTGTGTGTGTGTGTGTGTGTGTGTGTGTGTGTGTGTGTGTGTGTGTGCGTGTCATGGCCAGACACCCAATAGAGCCAGTCAATCAGTCAGTCCTTATGCATGGGCACAGACAGCGCACACACACACATGCACACACACATACAGAACAAGGAGAGTCTGGAGGGACAGAACAAATGTCATAACGACACTATTAGCCTGCAAGTTGCTGCAATCTGAGTGTCTTATAATATTACTGTTTCCATACCCACTAGTCACAGCAGCAGCTCCTATGGGAATATTACGGAGGTGTGGAAGTGTTTTTGGTCAGCAGTGAGAGTTGCTGCAACAGAAAGATGCACAAACTGTGAGTTTGAGTGGAAGACCGTAGATCCAAAATTGCACACCTGTCTATATATTTACAATGTCTTATTCCTCTGTGTTAATCCTTGTAGTATTACGATACCTATGAATTCCACAACGAACCTGTTTATATATTCAATTTCTATATTAATTGTATTAAATTATGTAATTTCAATGCAGCAACTTATTGTATGCATGTTTAATTGTAATGCATTTGCTGCAATAATGCTGATTATATCATAAATAAGTGCAGTAGTCAGTTTTGTCTATTTTGTAATGTATATATATATAATTCTTTGTATTATATGTTATACATGAAACTGCTGTAGTTTTCTTAATGTTATTGTTTGTGGAGTAGTAGTTGTTGCCGTTTTGAGACCTAATGAGCAAATAAATAAACAATAAACTTGCATTAACGATCATCAATGTTTTCAGGTATTAAAAAGCATACATGTATTATACATTTACCCTGATTGTGTGTCCAATTTGTCATTTTTCATATATTTTATGTTATTTTACTTGATTTAATTTGACCTTTTATCAATTTAACATACACATGACATGTGACAGATCCATGGAGGTCAGGGTTTCAAAAAAAACTCTTAATGCAGAAGTAAAATAACATTCATGATTATTGTCTAACATTTCTTTAACATGTATTGTACTTGCAAATATGTCCACGTGCCCTCTCACAGCTGGCCACGCACAGAGAAAAAAAATCTAAACTCTTGAGTAAAATATTGAGCATCGTAACTCAGCCTCTATACCTGTCCAGCTGCGCCACCTGCTGGCTCGTGGGACGTAACGCCAGGATGATGACGCTCCGGGGACGTGACGTCACGGGACGCTGCGTTCAAGTGCTCCTCGTAGATTCATGATTCGACGGTGGTCGAGTGGATATTTGTCACACGAGAGTTAATCATCATCTTTGAGTTTAGTTTATTGTAAATAGTAAAAGTACCCTTGTTCAATGTCTGGTGAATTAGGACACATTGGGAGTTTTGGAATTTCTGCCATGTGTAAGCTTTCTTACGAGATATATATATATATATTAATATTAATGCAGTGATACATTTCTAACTTAAGATGTTATCTATCCATATAAGTAGAAAAGAAGGTTATATATTCTAAGGAAGTGTGGCATATACTTTTGAGAAAACTGACCCAAAACCTTGTTTTTAACATGTGGGTGATTGGGAGGGCATATGTTATCATTGATTTAGGCTAGTGCATAATCATTGCACAATTTATTATGATTTGATGTAATGAGTTGTGTAAATATTCCAGCAAAATGTCTAAACAAAGTCTAATTATACTAGCCAGCGTCTTCCTCACCTCATGCGTTGCAGGTCAACTTCCTGTTTGATTCTTGACCCGCCCACCTGGTTGATGTCACAACAATGAGGGCATGTAATTCTCTTTAGGCGGTTTCCTAGGTAGGTCTTAGCAAGCACCTTTTTTTAAATGAAAGATCTGAATAGTTACACTATCTCACTTGACCTTATGCCATATTCTCCCTACACCCCCCTCATTGTTAGAGTAATTAAATAATGGTATCTGACGTGTTGCATCCGTTCAATCCGATTCTTATCAAAGCTTGCGTCGTGTTTTAACTGTTTATTTTCTGTTCATTTTACTCTACTTTTCCGTCTCTACTTTGACCACTAGGTGGCGCAACTGTGGCGGCTCCAGAGTTTGGTCACAGCGCTGCAGAATCATCACTGCAGGCCAGCAGTGAGTGGAAGTGAGAGAATAACTGTTTAGTCCAGTTTCAGAGATGAATATGTCTTCTTACGTGAAAAAAATGTATATGTTGGAACTTTTTTTTAATTTTCTTTTATTGCTTTTCAGGGATTTTCTTTGTCTCAACAAAATATTATTTGGTTTTGTGGATGTACAGTTTACAACCATATCTTTACAAATCAAAAAACTAAAATAATACTCTGCAGACATCTTGGAATCGATTGGGAAAATCGGATGATCTATGACTTGAACAGGGAAAACATAAAAGTAGCCAATAGACAGTAAGCATTCAGATATTTTACTTAACACTACATTATAGCAATACAATCACAAGTAAAAGTCCAACATTAAAATTTCACTTAAAAGCTCGAAACTTTTAGCATCAGAGCACTCATTATGCATGATGGACCATTTCAGAATAATTTATGTCATGATGTTGGATTATAATTATTAATGCACCAATGTGTTCATTATTTAAATATTGAAGCTGATATAGAGGTGGAGCTCATTTTAATTAATTGATATGCTGCTGGGTAACGTGTGAAAATACCACAGGAATACATAACTTATCTTATAATAATACATAGTAATTTATTCGTTGACTTAATTAAATATCATTCATCTGAATCTGCAAAGTAACTGAAGTTATGAAATAACTGTAGTGCAGTAAAAAGTATATTGCTCAAGCATTGTAGTGGATTAGAAGTATAAAGTAGCACAAAATGGAAATACTTAAGTATCTCAAAATTGCACAGTGCTTAAGTAAAAGATGAATGGAACCAGATGAGGGATTTAAATCCCAAAGACGCCTTGGAAATTTAAAGGCAGAACTCACTGAAAAAATAACATGCGTTTAGAGTGAGTCTTGCGTCATACTGAGATGTTTTAAAAACATTTGTTACTCTTTTATTGAGCAAAGTTCTTCGATTGTGTTTCTCTTGAACAAGTAAAAATAGATAATATTATGGAATAACAAACATAATTCATCAAAACTCTGAAAAAAAACACTTAACCTTTATAAATGTCTTAAACTCAATTGTGAATCATTTGCACTCGTGTTTTAACAGTTAAAAGATGCTTCATAACACACTGTAAGGATTTGTAATCACACTGTCACTTTCTACTTATACTGTATATTGTGTTATCAATAATTCATTAACGTGTTTGCACACCGTGTCATTATGTTTCATTGTAGAACAGGGACAGTGATGGTGTCATAAAAAAAGAGCAGGCACAATATCATATATTAAATAATTTTATTTATATAAAATACCAAAACATTTACTCAGCATCAAATTGAACATAAAGTACGATATAATATCACAGGCAGACTGCACAGTGAACTCTGTGAACTTAAAATAAAGTAAAAGTGAAGGTAAAGAAACAAAAAAGATCATGAACATACAAACAGCCAGAGGCTTCAGTGCGTATTGATTGTCTAGCAGTAGACATCCAGGGGTCTTCCAACAGTTTCATTAAAAAAATAATAATAATAACAATGACACATAATTAGAGAAAATAAGAGTGTTTAGCTCACTGGCAGGTTTCAGTCTGTAAGGGTCCTCCCATGTGGGGGTCCCTGAGTTAAAGTCCAACAGGGGTCCACGGCTTGATGTCTGTTTAATCAGGTTGATGGTGTAAGCTGGGTCAACAGATGTGCACCGGCACCATCCAGTGATGTTGTTAAAAATCAAAAATACACAGTAACATCAGCTGTTTGGTGGGCTGAGGTGACATTTAGGATGAAGCTGTTTTATGCCCTGAACGTTTATTGCAACCCAAAATCTGACCAGCCTTTTTTTTTCCTGAATACATCCTCCTCTCTCCGCGGTAATCCACGACGGACCATCTCAGGCCCCGAAGTCCATTTTATATTTGAGTCTCAAACATCCAAGTCAGAGTCACTGTCCGTTACTGAGAGAAGAGTTTCTCCATCTGCGCGCTCCCCGCCTTCGTCTGGACTGCACTCTCCTCCGCTAAATGACCGCGCACCGCCTGGACACATCCGGTGGTGTTGCAACCTGAAAATGAACAGAGAAAGAAATTAAAAGGGGGGAAGTCCGTTTAAACCCAAGTGTGTCCAAAATGAAGTAAAATGTTACAGGTTAAAATTGACAAACAAAGTGAAAAATAGAGCATAAATAAAGCCCGTAACGAAAACTAAGTAAATCATAAATAATCTCCAGTTTAGTGTGGTTAGCAATTTGAGCCCATTGATGCACGTTTTGCTCACACCAATAGGAGGGATGACCCACACACTGACCCTGAAGCAAATTATAGGGAGAGAAAGAAGGATAAAGACCGTCCAGGTCAGACTGACTGAAGGAAAACAAAAACCTTGAAGCTGAATGGCCGTGCACTTTTACGCATGAATGGCCTTTATGCACAACCTTGGCTGCCTGTGGAGACGTTAACGAGAGAGTGAAAGTGTCAGTGAATAATCAATAAAGAGATTCTATTTTTGATATTGTGGTTTTCTTGATTTTTAACAATATTTCGATACTATACTGATAAAATAAACATGTATTCAACTCAACGACACCTGCATGTTTCTGTGACATTCAATGGACAACTTATTTCAAGTCAAAGTCACTGACCTGTTTTTGGCTGCTGCCGCCCGGTCTCTCTGTCTCCGGTTTTTGAACCAGTTCCCAACCTGAGTCGGTGTGAGTCCAGTTGCGTGCGCCAGCTCCCGCTTCTTCCCAGGGTTCGGGTACGGGTCCTGCAGGTACCACTCTCTTAGCAGCCCCCGCGTGCGCTCTTTGAAGCAGTGCGTCTTCTGCTCACCGTCCCAGATTGTCCTCGGTAACGGGAACTTCTTCCTCACGCGGTACTTGTCAACAGGTCCGAGCGGTCGACCCCGGAGCTTCTCTGCCTCCCGGTAGTGAGCTTCGAGCCACATCGCCTGGAGTTTACCGTGCGAGGCGCGCGTAAAGCGGTGCGTCTCCAGGATGTGATAAAGCTCGCGGAAGCTCCCCGTGTGGTAGGCCACCACGGCGCGAGCCCGCTGCACGGATTCGTGCTCAGAGATGGAGTCTCGACCGTCTGCGGTCACCGGGAGAGACCAGAGGAAGCGGGCCAGCCGCTCGATGTCTCCGGTCTCCTCCAGGGTCTCGCAGACACTGGCGATCTGCCCCGCGGAGAAACACAACCCCGGGAGAGCCAGGGGAGGACAAGCGGAGGGGGGGTCCTCCGGGGACTGCGAGCGTGCCAGAATAGGGAGCCCATCCGAGAAGTGTGGCAGGAGGATCCGGGAGGCTGAGAAAAAGTCGAGCGGCGACCTGAACACCATCTGGACGTCAGAGTGAAACCAGAGACGAAGTGTGTCTCTGAAACGGTCTGACAGAAATGTGCTGAAGTCTGACTCTTTAGCTCACCTGGGAGTCCGGGAGGGACCCTGGATCTGACTCCTCATTGGATACCCTGGGGCTGATGCGGGGTTGTCATGGCAGCACCGTCAATCACACAGAGGATTTATCCCTCCTTTTAAGGACAAGCTGGACACATGAAGCCTATTCTTAACAGACTCGCTGTTGGGAAACATTTCAATTAACAGGAAACCAAAAAAGACTTAACTCAAGTGCCACTTACTATCTTTTTTCCGGATCTCTAAACCAGATTAAAACGAGCGGGAGTGATAAAAAACACATCGGGCGGTAAATTCAGATGACCAAAAATGGCAACATAAACAAAAAAATATAGTTCACTGTAAAATCTTTCTATACAGTGTTGTGGTATGAATTCTTAATGTTTGTAAGATGTTTAATGGAACATGTAGGCTACAACATGCATGCGACAACTTTATAAACCACGTCTCAAAAGTTATCTTTAAAAAAGCTTTTTATTAATGCTAGCACACTATGTTGTTTCCAAAATGTCGTATCTGTTTTATTATAATCTTTTTTACCTTTATTATTATTTATTTTAGTAATATATTTGTATTGTCTGCATGTATTTGCCTCATAGCTGTCCTGAAATATTTGAATCGTGGTTCAACCATGTAAAGCACTTTGTAACTTTGTTTTAAAAAGTGCTGCAACGTTTACTATAAAAACAATAATAATAATTATTATTATTATTATTATATAGGCCTACACTGCTGCCAGTTTTTTTCAAATTTGAGTCAGCTTTTGTTTAATCTTCAGGTTTTTTTCTACGTCACACTGACCAACAAAACAGCAAAGTGATGAAGACAAACGTGTGAAGACAAACGCAACTTCTGACTCATAAAAACTAATAAGGGAATAGGTGACAATAAACAAATAATACCCCAATCACAAGAAGACCATAAGGCCCCTTAAAAAGAGAAGAAGTACCTGATTATGATGGTGATGTGTCCTATTTAAAAAAAGAGACACATCTTGAAACAAAACTGACATCACTGTCTGCTATCAGCTACATCTCATGACCTCTGTGGTCCTGCCGGGAAACTGCTTGCATCATTAATAATAGCAGTTATGTGAACGGTGTGATTGGAAATCTCACTCGGACCTGAAAGCGTATGTTTCTCTAAGTGGTCTCCCTCCACTCTAATCACTTTCTAATCACTTTTCTATTCTCAATTTATCCATATATTCATATTCAGATAATCTGCAGCTCCAGCTCCACTCTGTTACCTTGGATTAGCATCGGGCCTATACGCAGCCTGCTAACATTAGTCTGATAGAGCAGCATATTCAATCAGCATTAACACATTTTGGTTAGCCTAGTAGGCCATATGCTTTGGAGTGCGGCACCCTTTGTGCAGGGTTACTGTGTGTGTGTGTGTGTGTGTCTGTGTTTGTTTGTGAGAGAGAAAGTGTGAAATATGGATATGAGGTAGATATGTTTAGGCTCAGCAAACAAAAACACACTTGTTTACCATTATTGTGCACCATCTTATTCTATTCAGTCAAACACACACACACACACACACACACAAACACACCAATGTGAGCTGCAGTGCAGATGTGTTGGGCAGGAAAAAGGGGGTCACCCAGCTTAAAAGGGTTAATGCCAATTACCCCCAAAGACAGATGTCCCTGCATCGTGGTGTGAGGAGTCACGTGCCAGTTTTTCACCCCAAATGATGGTGGTGGTAATCTCTCCTTTCTCTATTAAATAAAATCAATTAAGCTTTATAATGATAATAATAACATAATGTACTGTTTTTTTTGAGGGGAACTCCGCTGAAGATTTGAAAATGGAAAAGAAATCTAGCAGTGTGGAGTTAAAAAGAGCCCGCTCCTCATCTCTGCTTGAGGCTAGCATCTACAAAATAAAATATATGAGGTAAAATTACCTGGATCTTCCCTCAATCTTCCACATCCTCGAGGCTCATAGAGCACGGACAAGTGTTTCCTTTAACCTCGCCTTCCAGTCGCTCGGTTGGGCCTCGTGGTCGAGCTCATTCACATGAACAGAGGAAGGAAAATAACTCTGGATTCGGCTATTAGTGCATTTAAAAACTTTTAGGACCTAATTATTTAAATAAGGGCAATCCATGTGTCCGTATAGGGCAGTTGATTTATAAAAAAAAAAAGATCCTCTGAGTTACAGACGTCTCTTTCCAAATGTAGACCTATGAGAAAAAGTTTTTTTGGGACCGTCGGCATCATGTGATGGACCTGGAAGTTGTAATTCAACTGTCTGACCACTATGTAAAACTGTCCTTAAAGGCTGGCGCTCTTCCTGTTTCTGGACCCGAATCTCCATCAAAACATTTCATGGTTGAGTTGCATTATGGGTAAAGTAGGTGACCCGGGTCTCGTTCCGAGGTCGTCAAATACTGACGCTTTTTGTCACAGCCCTCCGCGTTTGATACTGACGCACAAGATGAGACCGCACCCGGGTTTCAAGTAACTCAGATGTAAACAAGCATGTGTCAGTAAATGCTCAGAGCAACGGCTCCTGGAGTCAGGTGACGAAGTATAAAGAAACCAGGAGACTGCTGTTTAGGTCCTGTGTGAAACCAAAAGTCAATGTTGACTTATTTACATTGTTTATGTAACAAACATGCTGTTTTTAACACGATCCACAATGTTTTCCTAAACCTAACCAAGTAGTTTTGTTTGTGTTTAAAAGTGCGACTGTAGTGGAGCGTCGTAGTTTGACGCGTACGGCTACATAGTGCGTTAATAAGTGACAACAAGAAGTCCTGACCCAGCATCCATATGTGACAAGTTGGAAATGAGAACGTGTTGTGGTGCCATGTTTTGACAAGCAAGAACATGTGGAATAAAAAAGACATTATCCCTGCTTTTGCTGCATGGGGTCCAGCAATGTTACAGGAGTGCAATGCTGAACAAAACAAACATACCCTACAGACATATTCACAAGAAAATTGATCGGCAAGGACGAATGTCGCAGCCAAAAAAGATGTTTCAGTGTCAGCAAAGCTTCTCTTCTTCCCACGTTCACATCGAGTGGCTCAGTCGGGCTCTACTTGAGATACTCGAGTCCCCAGAGGATTGCAACATGTTTCTCTGTGTGTGTTTTAACAGTAGAAACAACGGACAAACACAGTCATGGCCAGGGCTCCTCCAAGTTGAAAAGACATTCTCCTAATTGAAGCAGGAAGGACGAACGAAACATAAGCTACTCAAGAAACATACTCGAGGTGTGTGTGTGTGTTGTGGTGATGAGGGGGTGAGTGTGTCGTAATGGTGACAATTAAGTTAATTCAGCTACATCTCCTTTCAGCAACAGGACAATTAGTGGGGAGGAGGAGGGAAAGCAGAGATGGCTAAAAGCGGGTGGATGACACTTCCAGGGTGGCTAGAGGAACACAGCGAGGATACGAAGTGAATCGCCTCCTGCGTCTCCTTATACCTCGTAAACAAAAACCGTGCTCCTAAATAACCTCTTCACTGACCTCCACAATTTAACACTGACCTCTTAAGCTCTGAAACTTTAACCCCCTCACCTCCTCTCATGGAAGAGGCCGTACAGCCCCCCTAACTCCCCGCAAAGCCTCCTCCTCGTTAAGCCACTAATCACTTCCTGAGTCTTTGTTGTGCTTTTGTGCTCTTACAGGGATCCAGGAGAGTTTGGAGCACAATGGTACCCCCAAAAAACAAAAAGGTGGGGGGGTAAAAAGGATGAAAATTGAGATGTGGAGAGAGTAGGACCAAGCTTTTTATACATGCTAAGATTGTCGGCTAATTGGGTGTCGAATAGTGGGTTAATCAATTAGTTGGTTTGTAGAAAAGTAATCAACAATTATGACAGTGAATATGCAATTTTAAATAATTGTTAATCTCAGCAAATGCACGTATTTGTTTTCTAGCTGCGAGTTAGATGAGAGGATACGACTCTGTTTAAATATGAAGCTACAGCCAGGAGACAGTTAGCTTAGCTTAGCATAATGACTGGAAACAGGGGGAAACAGCTAGCCTGGCTCTGTCCAAAGGTAACAAAACCCGCAAGCACCTCTAAAGTTCCCTTTTTTACTTGTTATCTCCTGTTTGTTTTATCTGTAAAAAATCAAAGTGTAAACATGTGAAGTTGTGGTTTTACAGGGGGTTATGGGAGTCAAGCTAGCTGTTCCCCTTTGCTTCCAGTCTTTATGCTAAGCTAAGCTAACCGTTTCTTGGCTGTAGCTTCATGTCGAGCAGACAGACATGAGAGTGGTGTCGACCTTCTCATATATAACGGTCTGCAAGAAAGCAAAGAAAGTCAAACGAAAGCTGGCTGCACATGTGAACAGATGGATGTGGCTTTGAGTTACATTGTGTGTGTGTGTGTGTGTGTGTGTGGTCACCGTTTAACTGTCACAGAAAGGAGGACAGGTATACTCAAGTAACTGTACCTGAGCGACTAATCCTGCCCCCTAATTGGTTTGTAACCCAACACCTCGAAGTTAATCCTGCTATTTTTATTGGTGAGGCGTTAGTCCAGCTGTGTGAGTGCTGAAACAGCTGGAGACTTTCTTTTTTCAGACACACAAATACACATGTAAACACATAACCAGGTTTGTGACACACACAGATGCTCACAAACAATCATCCACACATGACAGATGGGTGACGAGCAGCGACATCAACGCACAAACACCTTACTGAGAGATGAAATAGCAAAACAATCGGTTAATTTGACTAATAATTACTCTCATGTGCTGCACTGCTTTCTAGACTATAGATTAGGGCAGCTGGGCCAGATGTGAAGGCACCGATTACATCATTATCCTGTGTTTTGTTGGTGTCACAAACACAGCAGCCGCCTGACAAACAAACCTCAACTTCCAAAAATACAAACAGCTGGCGCCTCAGCAAACGTCTGGCTGTCGGGTCCGTCATGCATCGGCAGGCAGTC